AATCATTGTGGGACTCTAGATTGTGTAGAGTGTCAGGCACAAGTATATATAATGTGTGTATGTGAAGATCATAATTACTATTATTGACCATCGCTATTTCAGGGTGCTCAAAATGCCATGGTCATGTAGGATTACCAAAAATGAAGTGTTACAGAGGTAAACAGAAGAATAGAGTTGCAGCATGAAGCAAAATGAGAAAAACTTTATGACAATTCCATAATTAATTACGAATGGGGAAATAAAAGAAAATTGTGACTCATCAAGGGAATTACTTTCCAGTTAAACAAACTCCAAACAATTCAAACAACTAGATAAGCGGAAAAGACCCATTACGTTGAAAATTGTAGTTACCTCTAAGTCAGACTGGGTTAAGCCCTAATAGGTAGTTTTAAAATAGTTTAATTGCATTCATAATTCACTCATCATTACAGGCAGATAGATGTTGCAATTATCAAATTAAAACTCCCAACTTTATCATGAACTTAACATGTACCTCTAAGGTACAAAATTTGATTTGTATTTAAACTGCTGGGTATAAATTTTGGATTTAAATCGTTATCAATAATGGAGCCTTCAGTTACTAAGCATATTTCAGGGGCACCACCAAGAACAAGGAGATCAATGTACTGAGCCTCAAAGAACAATATGTTGTATTATCAAATGTGTTGTACCATATATTAATGTTGTTGAATGTCTTATATGAAGAAAAAGTGAGAACAGCTAAATACAGTTTCTTTTCCAATTTGTTCATTGACTTGTAATCTTAAAATAAAAGAGAAAAATCTATTAAACTGTGGCATAATGAAAAACATTTACTATTAAGAAATATCCAAAACTGAACAGAGTTGATATTTGAAACTTTCATATGCAGAGCAGATTTTGCTAGTTATTATAGCCACAGTAAAAAAAAAAATATGAAATTTTGGCTCGAAAGTCTACATTTATCTCTTGAAGCATTGGTAGCTGCAATTTAGTTTGTTTCCTAATTGAATGTCCATATCTAGGGGGTGGTTTCAGGTTCAAGATGAAAACTTCAAATGATCGTATGTCCTAAAATTTTTAACTTTTGAAACACAGGGTGGTAAGCAAGGTCAAAAAAATAAATCTTTGATTATGAATATCCGTATTACCACTTAATGATATTTGGCATACACGTAACCGTGTCAAAAGGCATTTTTTTAATTTTTCTGCCTGTTTTGATAGACAGTGATGGTATGCTGTTTATTTCTCTCTTATTAAAATTTTCTATCACTTCGAAGCAAAAATCGATGCGAAATGATTTTTTTTTCAATCTGATGCACGGTTTTTATAAATACGATCATAACAATATTGTTAACATGACAAAATCACCATGCAGAGAATTTTTTTGGTGGAAATAGTGGGTCGGACATGAAAAATTGAATTCTTTTAGTCTGACGCACGGTTTTTACCTGAAAAATTTCGCGACATAGTGACATTGTCATACTAACGATATTAGGATCATGCAAAGAAACGTAATTTTATTTTTGTAAGCGAATACCGTGCATCGGAGTGAACAAAAATTAAGCAATCAAATTGGAGTGGAAATGACGGAATTTCAATTAAAAGTTTTTATTTTAAGAGAAATCACTTGAGTACTATCATTGTCTGTCAAAATAAGCAAGTGAAATCGTTACGAACGTCGCCGGTGGAAATCAAAAGAAAATTCGTACATTAAAAATACCTCTTGATAGTACATATATGCAGAATTTTAATAAAGTATTTACAGTGATATTACAGATCGCAACAAAAAAATGATTGATTTTTAAAAAGCTTACCACCCTGTTTCTCAAAAGTCAAGACGTTTAGGACATACAATTATATGAAGTTTTCTTCTTAAAATGGAACCAAAGTCGCCCTCTTAAATATTGACATTCAGTTGGAAAACACCTTATATATTATATGTAAGTAAATTTGAAGTTATTAAAAGTTATTTTAATTCACTATTGTAGTTTTTCATTTTGGGTATGTTTTTTTGACTATATATTTGTTTATATTTCCTGTTATTATTAATTTGTACCTTTTAGATATAAAGAATTCATTTGATTACTGATACTTATGTATTTTGACAAACTATCTATGAATTCCTTAACAATTTCATGTATCATATTTTCCAGTTGGTACTTGCAGAATATAAATAAAAGAATACCTGATAAAATAAATATGTTTTATTCTACATTGTATACCCACAGAAATACGATAGGTGCGTTCTAGAAATATAGATTTCATCAATTTTTAATCCTTCTTTTCTCTTAAAACAAATGTTTTTTCTCTAGCATGACGTTGACTAGATTATATGCTATTTTCTAAATTACAAGCTATCTAAACAGGTCTAAAAGGATATCTAATCAATTACAAAGAAATCTTTCTAGTTTGGGGGTACGTTAGATCATTTTGGAAAGTTAATTAACTCTAGGTATCAAACTTCTTGAAATATCCAATTTAAATATATTGACTCTTTTTTCCCTCTAATAATGTTCCTTACACTTGGAGTTATTGTCTTGGAACAATATCTTGTACCCTGGGCTTGTCACGATTGGATGTTCTTTGAGCAATGGAAATAGATCTGAAAAAATAGTATTATAAGTAATCGTGATTTCTTATGTTTTAGTCCTAAGTACCGATATAACCATGAGTGTTAAAATATGTATCTCATATAGCATTTTTGCTAGATCACTGGATTCTTAATTAACCTATGCCAACAGCTTTGTGAGATTTTGTCATATAGAAATGTTGATTACAATATTCCAAAAGCCACTTTATCGAGTTTTGTCACGGGCTCTTACTCTATGAGATACAGTCTCCGACTTGGGAATTTTACATAAGTTCAAAGAAAAATATATTGACATCTGTTTATGTGAGAATTTGCCATGTTCGATCTCAACCATTTTGAAATAGTAACTCGGATTTCTGACATGAATTGCAACTTTTATGCACCAGAATATGTGGAATGCAGTCTCCAAATTGCAGGGTCGAAACATCATAAGGTCGAAGAGAAAATGTCGAAAAGGTCTATAATGTGTAAGGTTGAGTCCGAATTGAAAAATGTAGATAACAATAGAAGAGATAATATTAATATCTGTTTCTTTGGAACTCTTTCATGTTCGGTCTAGCCGATTTTCATGTACGGATTTTTGTAGCTTAGATAAATGACTGGACCTGCAACTTCTGTGCACCGGAATTTGTGAGATGAGGTCTTCCAATCGAGAAATGTAGATAAGATATAAGAGAAAATTTGACAATTAATTTAGTTTTTCTTCATAGCTGCCACACAGATTTCGAACCCCGGTCGAATCGACTAACTCACTTTTCATACGATCCAGCGCCCACCGTACGGTGCGCACCTGATGCGGCGTTGGGCTATGGAAGTAGATGAGTCTTTTCACAATATCCAGCGCGCCGTACGGCGCAAATGCCGCGCGGCGAGCAAATTCCGCCAGACTGCCCTACGCCGCACGGCCCAGGGCTCTACACTGTCCGGCACTCAAAATGTCATGAATTCGGTTTGGAAAATGATTTTTACTTATTCGAAAGTACAGAATGTATGAAAATATTCGAAAATGCAGGAATGATTCACTTTGGCTCAATATGACCACCTTTTGCCTAGGCTATAGCATTGTGATGGTCCAAAACGAATCAGAAGCTGCTTGTGACTTGACGATATTTTTGCCCACTAACGGACAATGGCTTTATTCAGTGTCTCGAGGCTGGTGTATTTCTTAGCTCGAACCTTGCTCTCCATCGTCCAGATAGAATAATATATTGGATTCGCGTAGGGTGAATTCGAGAGCCATTGCGTGGCCGGAATAAAGTTCTGAACATTATCTTTCTTCCATTCTTGGTTCATTCCTGCCGTGTGAGACGGTGCCTAGTCTTGTTGAAATGTCCATGGCCTGCGGCCGAAATGCTTGTCTGCCCACAGCTTCAAAGCAGCCTACAGAACACTTTCCCGAAAGTATGTCGCATTTAGTTCATCAAATGATTTGATTGACATTCGAAAGTGCGAAAAGAATCTTTCCTCACTGTTCCGCAATGAATTGAACTAAACTTTGGAGGACCCAGAAGTATTTCGATTTTGAAGCAATGGGTGAATCTAAAACCGCCTATTTCTTCTTCTTATTCGCCGTCTCCAGAGCAAGTACATGGCTAGTACATTCTTCTTCCGCGCTGTGTCCATTTCAAATAACTACCCTCAACTGAACAGTCAAAATACGGAAGCGCCGCGCGGCGCGCCCCGGACGAGACCTACCTTTTATGAAAACATCACGCTTCTCAGGCGCGCGGCGTGCTTCGTGCGTCGGATCATGTGAAAAGGGCATTAGATCTATGACTTAAGTTGCACCTTCTGTGCACAAGAATCTGAGAGACGCTGTCTCCGAAATGAAAAATTTAGGTGACTATAAAAGAGAAAATATCGAAACTATGTATGTCTTTAGTAATCAATTATCATATTAACACAGGAATATTCAAATTCACCGACTTTTGGTTCTCAGAATGTTGATGTATAAACCTAGCTGACATTTATGTGTATCATATTCTGTGAGATAGTTAACGACATGGAGGACGAACAGATCTTTTTCTGGACAACGCTGGCCAGTATGTAGTTTTACCAAGTTTTGGTACACTGAGTGGCGCAACTATATGGATCATTTTAGTTACCACTTTTGGGTACCACATTCTGTGAGGCACAGCCTTTGAATTATGAAATATAGATGATACTACATAGTTACAAATATGTTTCATATGTGATCTTCCATTGCTGTTATACCTAGTCCAACCGACTTTTCCATTTCAGAATGTTGTAACTAGATACATATTTGACTTGGTTGCACTTTCTGCATAGCAGAAGCTGTAAGATACAGTCTTCAAACCAGAGGAAAACAAAGTTAAATTGCTAGAAAGAAAACATTTGGCGCATGATATCCAGCTTCACCGACTGTTACGACCCAGGATTGTGCAACTACATGAATAATCCTAGTTACCACTTTTGTGTACCACATTCTGTGAGGCACAGAGACAGATACAACATTATATGAGGAAGTATTAGAATATCGATTGACGTTCATCTGTTCAGTCTCACTGATTTTGACACCGATAACGCTGTCACTGGTTGTACGATGTGTTACAGCTTCTTGGTACCATACTTCGTGAGACACAGTCTTCGAACCCAAGAAATGGAATGCCGCTATAGAGAATTGCTTCTCTGGACAACGATTATCACACCAGCTTATGATACCCAGTCTGACTGATTGTAGGCACACAGTGTGGTGCAACTTCATGTACAATTTTAGTTGCATATCTATTATCTTACGCTGAGAAGACTACTTAAGATCGGCGCGCACGAAGGTCAGTTACTAACATAGTTGATTTTAGACTTAGTTATATACTTATATATAATTTAAGCACTAAAAACAGAAAACTTACGAGGTCCTTTCCCTGGAAATTCAAGCACAGCTGACGCATTTAAAGGGGACAATTTAGGATATGCACAAATAGGTCAACAAATGATTTTTTACAAATTATTTGATGAGCTATTTTAGCAAGTACCTACCAATTCGACAGACGGGAGGGTTGGAGTCGTTAGCGTTAAAGTGAGAGCAAGCCAATGTTTGAGGAAAACTCTACCAAAAAACGTATTTCCGCTGTAATTTACTTGATGTTTTGAATCTCAATTGCAGTTGATTACTCCATTTCATTACATCTCTATTAGAACATATGATTAACTTCAACGAGCACTCTTTTTGTGTGTTTATGTGCCCATATACGGCGCTTCGCCCATTCTCACGATAAAGTTTCTGTTGGGAGGCTGAAAACCTTATGGGTTGCAATGGTTCGGTCTACAGATGTTTTGACATCTTTTCCATTATGTAAACTATCCTCATTTTCTTATAAAATACACAGATCTGTCTCCATGTTACATTCTCCCCGGCTCAGCTATCAGCATCTTCTTGAAAACGATAATATGACAAATAGGATGCACATTAGTAGTGATTAATCATGATAAATCCGCATGTACGAAAGTTTTCTCCGGCTGACCTCGTCAAAGTAACTATTGTAATACCCCCGTATACGCCAGAACGGCTCTACAGTATATTCAGATAAGAGATAGACCGAATGTAAACAAAAGGTTCGGCTGATTTTCACGCTAACGCCGCCGTCTCGACGTTAAACAGGAGCCCTCATTGGTCAATTCGCAATTAAATGCCTATGCCGAGCGGCAGAGCAGTCGTATCAAGGCAGAGTCACATTCAGGTTCAGACGTGTTACGTATGTCATGTGCATCATTGCAATTTGATATTTCTTTGGACGTTTGCGTTTGTTATCTTATTAAGTTGTTGAGTTTGTCGTTGTTATTGTTATACCTTTTTATTGATTGTTATTGTTATCAACTGCTTGCGCAAAATGCCCAGTAGTACAGATACTGCCGATGAAGTTGTAAACTCCTGTAGTCCACCTAGGAAACGCTCTAAAAAAAGACACCTGAGTGCAGAAATGAAAGAGGTCATTTTGAATATATATAAGATCGAGCACGAGGAGAACGAGGCATCAACCATCAAAGAAATTGTTGTGAAGGTTTCTCACAAAGTTGGGGTGTGTCGCGCATCAGTGTTTAATGTGTTAAGACAATACAAAAAAAATCACACCTTTTCTGAGCCAATGACCAGTAAACATCGAAAAAGTATTGTTAAATCATTGGATGAAGCTGATAAGCATGCGATTAGGAGGAAAGTGCATGAATTCTTCTTTAGGAATGAAATACCTACTATAGATAAAGTACTGCAGGAGGTAAATGGAGATACAACGTTGCCAAATTTCAAACGATCAACTTTCCATGCGTTACTGAAGCATTTAAATTTCAAATGGAAAAAACGGGGTCGTAATAGTTTACTACTGGATAGAGAAGAAATTGTGCTATGGAGGAGGGATTATTCAACAAAAATTGGGAAATATAGAAATCAAAACACGAAGATTTATTACCTTGATGAAACGTGGGTAAACGCAGGACACACTACAAGTAAAGTATGGGTTGATGATTCTGTAACTTCATCCAGGAGGGCCTTTCTAGATGGACTGTCCACCGGATTAAAAAATCCAGCAGGTAAATACGAGTAATAGACAACAATCGGATGTTTTTCAAACCTTGGGAACAAGGTTCTAAACATTAATTCCAGGGGGCAGATAAAACATATTACAAGTAACAAAACTTTTATAACTTTCGATAAAATGCGTGGATGTTTTATTGTCATTTTCATTTGTTAGAACTTTTTTAAGCCATGTTTTTATGTGTTTTCGATATTTCAATAATTTTTTAATATAACCTTAAAATATGTCGAATATTACAAACTTAAAAAAAGTTACTAAGTTTTATATTGTGTACCGTTCCTAATATTTCTAATCATTTTAATTCATACTTTAAGCTTTATAAAGTTATAATATGTTAATATTAATATTTGCGCGTATTTCAGGTTCCTGATCATTCCTTTTTTAAAGGTTTATAACTTTAAATTAAATTGTGAAGCGCTGAGTAATCATACGACGTTCAATATTCTTTCTTTCAATATGACTAAATAATCCCAATTATAGCAATCTGATACTCATGTCTCAATGTTTTTTCGCCGAATGTGATGAAAACATTTGAAAAAGGTTCGCTTATTGAAATAAATCTACACCAGTTAGTACTTCGATTTCCAGGTAAAGGGAAAAGGCTCATTATCTGCCATATTGGCAGTGAGGATGGATTTGTTGTTGACGGTCTGTGGTGCTTTGAGTCTAAGAAAACTGGAGATTACCACGAGGAAATGAATGGCGAATCGTTTGAACAGTGGTTTTCAAAAATTTTACCGAACTTAGAGGAAAACGCAGTAATTGTGTTGGATAATGCGCCTTATCATTCTCGAAGAATGGAGAAGGTCCCAACAACGGCTTCAAGGAAAGTTGATGTTCAAAATTGGCTCCGCTCGAAAAATATCAACTTTGAAGAAGCAATGCTGAAAGTACAATTATTAAGAATTGTCAAGGGTCACAAGGCGGAATATCAAAAATACGCCATTGACGAAATGGCAGCAAGTCAAAATAAAACTGTGCTCCGTTTACCTCCATACCATTGCGAGCTCAATCCCATTGAGCTCATATGGGCAGAGGTTAAAAATTATATAGCTAAGCACAATACAACTTTTAAATTTTGTGACCTCAAAGGACTTTTCAAAGAAACACTAGAATTAATAACAGCGCAAAAATGGGAAAACTGTATTAAGCACGTGAAAGACAAAGATGAAAAGAGAATGTGGGAACTGGACAATGTTTTACAGGAACAAGTCGAGCCATTCATTATTGACGTTGGTGCTTCAGGCAGTAGCGATGATGAAAGCTCATCAAGCTCATCTTTCCAATAAAAGATGTCGTTTATCAAATTCGGTAAGTTATAAGTAATTATAAAGCTACTGTATTTTTTAATTAATTATTGACATTTTTGAACCCATTTTGGCAAAACCTATTCAAGAATCTACTTTTTGACAATGTTCAACCATGCACATTTTTTTACGTTTTGAACGTTTTAATTTGGTTACATATTTACCTAGAAATCAAAAAATATACTAATCAATATTCTAAAAGCAATTTTAAGAGATATACGATTATTTTTAATTTAGGCTAGTTTAAACGCCATTTTGAGATTATATTCGACTGTATTTCACCAAACATCAGGCGGCATCCGAAGCTGGAAATCGAAGCGAAAATTTTGAAACCCGTATGTATATTTACATCATTATATATTTCTTACCCCACCCTCACATGATCCTATATCCATCACCAATCGTATACACATCGAATTGTGCTAATTTACTACAAAGTTACGCAAAGCAGCATCTACTATCTAAAATATGTACTGCGTGACTCTTAATACGTCCCTGCCGAATGTTACAGCGTTCGATGATCACGTGGTCTTGTTTATGTCCGGTCTATCTCTTATCTGAATATACTGTAGACCAATGGCACGTTCGTTTTATTAACAGCTAAATAAAAGCACGTTTTTAAGACGGTTTTTCTCATATTTATTGATGGTAATATTTGCAATCGGGGTGCAACATCAGACACATTTTCCCTGTAATATGGTTAAAAAACCATCCATCCATGTTGGTTATTAATTTGTTTCGGAGGCGTGCTTACACAGCATGTGATAAGACTGGCCAAATCTACACTGCGCAATGATAGTACAGGCCGACTAGTCAAATAGCAGCGCTATTTTCTATGGTTTTGCTTGTTTTTGTTGCCGGCTACAGATGGTAAGCAAGTGAGGCGCCCGTTACAGGGTGCAGTGTCATGAGTGCGCAAAAATTCCCAATCAAAGGTGAATCAAGAATGATCATGACCCCCTCATTGCACAACTTAAGACCGCAGCCAACGTCAACTGCAACGTCAGAAAGGCATTAGCTCTTAGATTCTCAAAATCACAAACGTCAACGCGGGTGTCCCCAGGGATCGGTCTTGGCACTGACATTATTCCTGATACATATTAACGACTTCCTTTCCTGTACGGTCAATGCAATCCACAGCTTTGCTAATGACAGCACTCTAAATGCAGGAATTCCCAATGTCAAGGCGACCTCTGTTGGTGAGCTGTAGAAAACTAGACTAGCAGCGACCTCCTCTCTGACGAGAAACCCTGTAGTTTTCACTGCGGGGAACAGTTTAATGCTTCCAAAACAGTACTGTACCTTAACGAACAAGAAGCGTCCTAGCGCTCACCCGGTTTCGATGGATGGCCGAGTTCTAATAAAGAGCCAATAATTTTGGCTGGTCGGATTTCAGGTCATCGAGGTTTTGACCAGGCACGAACACAAGGCCCAGATAAGACCTAACCTCGAGTACTGCTCACAAATTTGGAGTGCTGTCGCCCCGACTACATTATACATGTCGACACCGGTCAGAGGAGAGCTGTTCGACTGATCGATGACCCTAACGGAAAGTCTTGGGACACTGCCGGTTCCAAAAGTATCTGAAAAAATGTGTATCAAAAAGAAAACGCCCTCTAACGGACAAACAATGCACTTTTTGCATAGAGGTAAATGATATCCAATCGACTTATTTTGAGTTTAAAAATACGTGTTTCTCTTATGTCCACCTGATATTGGGACACCATGTTTAGTCAAACGCTGGTATCGAGATATCAAATATGGAAGGACGAAAATCAAACACCAGTAGTATTTGAAGCCAAAGCCGACCTTCGGCAAAAATGTGAGTTTACTTATAAAAATAAAGTGATAGAATGACGATTGTTTGTGCCGTTGCTCTGTATATCGTTAAGTTGTAGCCTCAGTTTTCATGCAATATTGTATCAAACCTAGTTAAAATTAGAAAAGTTTATGACAAATCCGATCACTATTAGTACCTAACCAGGACCAAATATGCATCAAAAATTCTAATTCAACGTTTTTAACAAATTCAAAAGTTTACTTTTATGCTGCGGTCAAAGTGTGTTAAGATTTTTTCAACATAAAAGGTACTCTAGAACTTTTCTCTGAAGCTGATAGTTGTCGAAACATAAGTAAGCATTGCAATATTTGGAAAATAGCGAAATATGTAATTTTCTACCCCGAAAAACAATATGAAGGGATGAATAAAATTTTTAATTGCCAATGCTGTTAAAAATGTTTCAAACATCGATTAACAAAACCCCAAAAAATTTCAGGACGTATCGTTGCTGTAAGCCTTTGTTTTTTAATTATTAATCGAGCACTCGCTCAATGGTTTGTTCAGAATGTTCTAAATCTAAAAGCACTTTGAGCGGCACGGGTATCATGTAAAAAACCTACAAAACGTCAAAAAAAACCTATAAGATGTCAACTTGCAGATTAGGTAGTCTTTAGGGCGCAAACAGTAGTTCCACGTTTGCTCACTAGGATCGTTGTGAACGTCCATCTATGGGGTTCTCCGTAGATGGACTCAACTAAACTATGCATTATTGGTTGCATAGTTTTGTGACGCTGACTGATCCGTGTCTGTAGTTTTTATCCCTGAGAAGAAAGTTGGTTGAATAGCAAGGTCGCTTCTGGATGATTATGTGTCTTGGTTTGCATGTGTATAAAATCAGTGATATTTGCTGTGTGACAAAATCATTACTGAATATGACGGGTAATTTATATGTTGTGCTTTCTGAAAGAGGTTACGTTCAAAGTTATAAATTGCGAAGAACTGAGAATTACGGGAATTCACCTCGCCTGCGGTGTGTGTAATTACTGTTAGCATGTATATATGGCTTGTAATTCGACAGTGTACAGTGAATATAATTATTTCTTATCTCTCTCATTTTTGAAATTCAGCAAATTTGTATATGTAATTTCCAGAATTGATAAACAAAAGTGGATGCGCAACTAATTTTTAGCTTTGTATCTGAATTAAGTGTATTTGCGACAAGAACCCAATGTAATTATCATCAACACATACAATTTACAGCTTAGACCTCCAGTAATGCCATCTCAGAAGCAGATCTTCCATCACATCAGAGCCAAAGACTGATAGCAAGCCTCATGACGTTTAGGCAACACGTACAACTATAGTTGTTAACATCTTGTAGAATAACCTACATACTGTCAAAAAAACTAGCATAATGTCAAAAAAAATCGGCATAATGTCACTTTTCAAGATACGTGGTACCCGTGCGGAGCGAAAAAATTTTCTGAATTTGCTTAAAAGAGATTGTCTAAAAATATTTCTGCTCCTGTTCCTTTATTGCAGATATTCCTACGATTGTTTTTTGTTTTTCATCCAAGTTTCCGCAAGACTACTTGTATTTCTTTGAGCAAACTTCCTTCGAGTGTTTCCATCTGTCGTACTAATACGCTATTTACAAAAATCTACCACAATGGATAATTCACATAATCTAATCATTAAAAACTGATTGTTACGATTAGGAACATTCATTATTAAAAATCAGTAAGAAAAAATAATCGAATACCGAATTTCCAATATCTAAATCTCCTGAAACAAAGCACCGTCTAAAACGAAAGCTGAGTCCTCCCACCCATCTCATTATGCAGAGAACCGCTGACGCCCAATCACGGAACTACAGTTGTGTGCAGTGGCTGTGCGTTTGGTGGAACAATGCACCAGATATCAGAACGTAAGTGCTACATATGCTTATTTATTCCTTATTTCATTCCTTTTTGGTCCATTTGTACTTTGGTGTTGAAAAACTGTAACATACGTCATATTTTTGTACAAGACAATTTCAAAAACAATGAAATTATAACTCAAAAACGACCATAAAGCATCTTATCTACATATCGTACTTCACGTACGCCAATTTTTATATCATAATTGACTATTAGGGGGTTTAAAAATAACGTAAATTTTTGTAGTCTTACATGTTTGGTGTCAAGGCATTTATTTCTATTAGAGCCAAAATAGTCTCTGAAAGCTTGAAAGCGAGCAATTGTCATGTTTACAAGATGGCGATCAAATGTGCTTAGGTGCTCGATACGTGAATTTTGGAGATCGGTTGAAATTTCAACAAAATGTACTTTTTCCATTTTGTTTTCCTGATTAAGTCTTCATGGGTCCATCATCGGGTTTCTCAACCTGTTAAATGGTACAGACCGATTAAACCTAGATTCTATAACACTTATCTGAGTCAACATACGCGCATACAGGACTTTTCCTCAGGGGAGATCCCGCCGCCGTGTTGAACTCCTCAACTGCCTAAGGAGAAAAATGTAGAGGGGGGTGGAAGAGATAAATAAGCAAGGACTGTTTGGATTTGTGATTATGTGTCGTTCAGAAATGTTTTTGTTGTAAATGTGAACATCAGCATCAGTGCAGCTGCCCGTATGTCAAAAAAATAATAGTGAACTTCCAGCACATTTTTCCTTTTACCAGTGGTCTCTGGGGGAGGAATTGCAGTTCATCTTAAGCCCCTGTGGTGTTTCAACAGAAATACCGTCACTGCATGTACCTGTCAAAGTTACGATTTCTATTGTGATAATGCCTGACTGTGTGTCAGATGCTTGGAAGGTCAAGAAACCATGTTAAGGTTGTTTAAATATACAGTGCTTTTCATAAAGCCGCCCCCTACTTATGTTTTGAAGGATTGATCTAGTACGCTGAAATTTGGGACGATGAAATTGATTCATGAATAATACTATATTCGTGTGAAAGTGACAGTTGAAAATTGCATGACAAGCTCTCAAAATTGAGGGTTTTTACTTCCCATGTCTTCTGGTGGGGAGGTATTGCAATCGCGAAAAATTTCGAAAATGAGATATTACGTTTTTTGAGTGTTATATGATATATAAATCGCGAAAAACCATGTGACTCATTTGCGTCGGTATGTCTGTCCGATAATCATAACCGCCTATAACTTGAGAAGTACCTCTCGGATTTTGATATTATTTTCGCATATTGTTACTATTATGTCTAGAGGCAGCCGAGAAAGATGCAAAAAAACAGAAAAATCACTCAAACTTTGTTTTTTAACGTTTCGGACGATCCTCATCATTTTCGAAAAAAATTTAGTAGATGCTGAAAATTAACAGCTTGTGGCTGCAGGCATTGGGGGAGCTAGGTAACTTTTTTTCTCAGAAGGGCCAACTTGTGCCAAACGTAATAATTTACGAACAACGTAGCGTGAGAAATACAAAGTCAACTTACTTGACGCCATATTTTCAATGGTAAAATGACATTCCTTTCAATATTTTTTGGGGCCTGCCACTTCGGAGTTTTAGAAGGAACTCAAAATGTTTTCTAATTGGAAAATGAAGGTTTGAATATTTTGTACGTTTTATCTTCTTTAAGCCCGCCACCACCGGCACTCAAGTTTTATATACGCCACTGACAAACCTGAAATTCAGACTTTCCCGTGTGATTTCTGCCGTATCATTTATTCCATTTTGCTATTTCTGTTTAAAGATGATGTTTAACCGACATATAAACAATTTGCAGTTCGAGCTTCGTTAGAGAAACAACTGATAAGTGAATTGCTTGCAGTGGCAAAATTCGCAACGGCCGACGCGATTTGGATGAGTGATGCATTTTTCATGTTTATTTCAGACCGGCTGTTACTCGATCCAGTCTTAGTGTAAGTCTACTCTAAACAGAACTTCATCGTTGCCAATTTTTAGATATTAAAAGAGACTCCAAGCAATTTCAAGCAGACTTGCAAGTGCTCTTTAATTTTTAATAAGCTGCCTCTCTGTCAATATTGATGTTTGTAGGTTAAATAGTTTCCATTATTTCGTGATTGATATGTGTATTATCGCTTTTATATACAGGGTGTTTCTAATTCTACCCTCACCATTGGGATTTCGGAAACTGTAGTAGATACGCAAAAGCTTAAATATGGCATATTTAGGTGGATAACAAAATTTCACTTAGAATGTTTCGAAATTCAAGGTACTGCCGGAGAGAGACAGAAAACAACGAATGTTGTCAAAATCGTGTGGAATTTTCCTGACTTTAATTGTAGTGGAGTCTCAAAATGCATTGCACATTAACATTGACACTTTCTTCCTCTACAAGATGGCATAATTAGAACTTTAATATGACGTTTCGTCTCTTGTCCTCTAGCATCAACTTTATTTTTTCTTAGGTATTGGCTTCTTGCACAGATAAATAGGGTTTTTAATTGTGATTTCAAAAACGTATAGACGTCATCGTATTTTCAGCTTAACTTTTTTGAAAAGTTCGGTTATTTAGTATAGGAGGAAACCAGCGAGGGAAGAGGGAACATAATCCAAAAGCATTTTTTGGGATCTGTACGAGAGAGGGGGTCGCAGTGGTGGTCATAGCATTCATATTCTCGGAGATATTCACCCTCCCTTGGGAAGGGTGGCAGGCTTGGGGGTCTAGGAGGGGAAACTCGTCCTCCTCTGAGCCCACCATTGACAGTACTTACTGTTTATAGTAAGAAATCTAATAAAAAAATAGTTCTATTATGTGCATAGCTATATTTTAATATAATAACTAATATTATTACATCGCAGATTAAAAAAAAAGTTTTGGATATAGATCTCTTCGATATCTTCATTATCTTCATGACTACTTTCGTTGTCAGTATAGCCTTCTCTGTCAGTTTCTGTAACTATCTAAACAAGCTAATACAATTATGCATAATATTGTAAGTATGTATGATAATTACATAGCTGTTAATGCTTTTGGAGAATCACTGACATAATTTGGTAGCTGATCCCCTTCAAACTATTAAAACTGGTATTTGTCATTTTTCATGTCATAGTTGACAGATCATTTTTTGACAAAACGGACCCACTGAAAAGACTTATACTCGTAGTATAAACGACAATCAATACAGTCTTACCGAATTTCATTTAAGTTGCACTTTCTGTGGCCGAGAATTTGTGAGACAGTCTGCGAATCGAGAAATGTATTATACCGATAGAAGAGAAAAAATAGGTCTGTTTCATGTTCAGTCTGACCGATTCTGGGTTACAAAATACAATAACTTATATTGAGAAGTGACTTGATTGGTAGTTTACGTACTCTGCAATGTGTAAGATTCAGTCCGAATTAAAAAATATAGATAGGAATAGAAAAGATAAAATTGATATCTGTTTCTCAGGAAATCTTGCATGTTCGGTCTAATATATTTTGATGTACAGATTTTTGTATAACTTTCTGATAAACGACTTGAGCTGCAGCTTCTGTGCACCGGAACTTATAAAATGCAGTCACCGAAATGGAAAATATAGATAAGATAGACAAAAAAATGTCGAAAAAGTATGTACCTTTGGTAATTCTGCGTCGCCGCAACACAGTCTCGCAGACTTTCAAGCACAGGACGTCCATTGTTCCCGACGTGCGGTGACTTGTTTCGCCGCAACGACATTTCGACGTTCCAACAAAAATGACGGACGTTGATATAAATACTGAAATATTGATTAAAGAAGTGAGGAGGCATCATGTAATTGTAATTCGTCAAACGATTTAGAACTCATTCTAAAATAATTGAAAAACTTTTCCACGTGGTTTCTCAGATCCCAAAAATCACGAACAAATGCTCCCTTTAATGAACGGGCAATCACATAAGGGTGTACCCAGTGTTTTCTTTTCTTTTTACAAATATGATACTTATATACGTAATATGCAAATAAATCACATTGTTCATGCTCAAGATCCATCTTGCTACTTCTGTTGCGTCGAGAGAACTGCATGCGTTATTGTAGGCTCGTGTGAACTTCTGGATACAACTTATGGATATCAAAATCTTAATCACAGAGTCTCCGAAATGAAAATCGTTAACATCGTTAAAAGTTGCACCGACTTCAGGATGGACACAGGATGCAATTAGATGTACAATTCAGTACACTGTCAATATTTGTGTAAGAAACGAACTGAAAATGGAAACAGCCTTAGAAACAAACACACTGTTTGTTGTCAGTTTGTTCGTCTGAAACGTGAAAAAACAATGTTTGAGCGATATTTTTTCAATTCTCAAAAACTAAACTTTGCGTACTTGGCATTGCAGCAACATTGTCTACAAATTTTTTTGAAAACCGAGCGGTACTTCTCACGTTATAGACTGTTATAGGATTAGCGGACAGACAGACCGACGAAATGAAAGAAATGGTTTTTCGTGACGTAAATGTCATACGAGTATAATACCCAAAATAGTAATAACATCTTATTTCAGTTCAGATTGGTGCTTGCAAAGCGAACAGCAGATCGGCATGGCTCACTGTGAGGGTCATAAATAAGGATCACTTTTCCGAAAAAAAAATGATGAACTAAAATGAAGATTGAATAAGAATCAGAAAAAGCAGCAAAGTTATTGAAAGAAGTGTAAAGCAGAGGGACTTTTTTGAAAAGTACTGAGTAATCACGCTTTTCGTAGTAAGTACATATACAGTGTGCATGTTTAATATAGTATATAATAATAAAATTATGAAAATTATTGATCCTACTCTGATGGCTTCTTTGGTCCTCTGAAAACTATAGCATCGGCTTGATTTTTTCATTTCATATCACAGAACACTATTTCTTTTGTTTCAGACGAGCATCTCAATTGTCAGAGAAACTGTGCCAGGAGCATGCTCAGATCCGCAGAATTGTGAACAGTCTGCAGCGTGTTGAAGCACAAACATTTTGACGTATGTTTGTCGTCAATGCTTGAGCCGCAACATGTTGCAGAAGGTTTGCATTGCCGGCACGTCGTTGCGGCACAAAGGACAATATGAACAAGTGCAATTCTGAAAAAATGGCGTCAAGTAGATTGACTCTGCACTGTCTACGCAACCTTCTCAAGAGTTCGTAAAGTATTATGTTCTGCACAAGCTGGCCCCTCCGAGATAAAAGTTAACTACGGACACGTAGAACAAAAACATTAAGGGGATCAAGTTATTCAAACAGACTAATACAATTAAGATTTGCATACTTTACTTTCTCTTTTTGGTACAATTTTGGAGCTCTTTAGAAGTTGGCTCCCTGAGAAAATATGCTCTTCCTCGCGCTTCAGAAAGTTTTGGACCTAGTATTGCTTTCACACAAAAGTTACCTCTTGTCGATGGATGGCCCTCCTCCTTCCGCCGAGAATTCCTAAGGCCGCATATGCTGCTACAAAGACACCTAGTTCTGACGTTGTCTCTTATTGTAATAAAAATTCTTATTTTGATCCCTTGGGATAAACATACATTTGAGTTTTGATGCACGCAAAGTGAAACACCAACTGTCAACTGTCTAGCTTGGGCCTTACAACAAATAGTCATAAAATGTATTCAAATATGATTTATTATTAGTCCTTCTATCCTAATCTGGAAATATGTCAACTTGCGCAGATAGACCGAAGCTCCTTATACGGCTTCTTTGGATTGTGTGTTTTAAGATTGATTTTGATTTGAAAATGCATTCAAATATGACGTATTATTTATTAGTACTTTGATTCTATTCTGTAAATATGTGAACTTGCCCAGATAGATTGAAGCTCTTTATAGTGTTTCTTTGGAAATGGTATGTTTCCAAGATTAATGTTTATCTAAAATATAAAAATCAATTTAGCAAACGCATCTTACGTATCTTGGAATAGAGTTGATTAGTTTCTGTGAAGTGACTGGGCGATTGGGCTCAAGAGCAAATAAGTGAAAATAGGTATAAAATTGTGAACAGCCTTTTTATCGTACAAAAATACTAATACAGCAGGTGTCAGGCTGAAGAAGGGTGGAGAAACAAAAGCAACGAAATAAGGAGTAAGACTGGAAAATTGATGAATTGTTTTACCTATATCATAGGTAAGTGAGGGTTTTATACAGGATGTCGCATCGGGAACACCATCGATAGATTTCTCGAAAAGTAGGCATATGATATTTCTGAAAATTTGGGAGTATACTAACGTCGATGAGGCAACGGCAGCTAAAATATTTTCAAGATGGTGGCCCTTCCGGTTATACCGGAAGTTGATGCCAACTTGCTTATTTTGGAATGGACACCCTGCATATTACTTAATATTCGGATTCTACGTAAAATTCTAATCATATTTTATGTATAATCTCTTATACTCAAGTCTAACCGTTTTTGAAATATTTCAAATTTTATGTCAAAAATGACGTTTGCAGGCCCTAAAATAATTGTTCATTTCCCCTATGTAGAACACCTTATTGTTTAATTTGGATTGATTTTCTGATAAACATAGTTTAATAGACTTTGTATGATATTTCGATAAATATTATACAGGGTGGTCAAAAAATTAGAAATCAGAATGTCAAAAATTTCCAAAAGTCGATTTTTTCGAATGAAAACCCCCTATTTTTATAAGTTCATCGCATCCAGCATTCAAATTTAGCGTAATTTTATACAGGGTTTTCTATTCCATAAATGTTATTTTTCCAGTAATTCGCAATTTATTACTTTTCTATTGTAAAACTCCTATAAGTACAGATTTAGTTTTTTAATTAGTTGACTATGACGGCGGGATGCGGAGAACAAACAATTGCGCTCTACAAAAACGTCACTTTATAATAATGACCTTCATTTGACAGTTTATTTATTATTTTTAATAATCATGCCCGTGCGTTTAAATTTCACTTACGAATACTATTTCAATTTATTTATTATTTATGGTGAATGCAACAGAGTGATATCAAGAGCATGTGATGTGTTTGCTTATTTGAAGGTTGGAGGTGGTCCTTTTGAACATTTACCAAAATAATTTCTTGCTTGTTATGTTTTGATTTCGTTTTATAATAGTATGAAATTCAAATATAAATCAAAATACCTTATTGTTTCCTGTTATTCATTTCATTGTATGTATGCTTGTTGGGAAATCTACTAGCAAACTTATCATAATTAATCTTCATATTATTCTGATTGTGAATGCATGAAAATTATTAATTATATTAATAAAAGCTTAAACTTAGACGTAGTGATATTTCCGTAGTGCTCAATTGTTTATTATCTGCGTCCCGCCGTCATAACCAACTAATTAAAAAACTAAATCTGTACTTACAGGAGTTTTACAATAGTAAAGTAATAAATTACAAATTACTCGAAAAGTATACATTCTTGGAATAGATAGCCCCTTATAAAGTTATGCTAATTTTTAATGCTGGATGCGATGAACAACTATTTTAGGGCATGCAAACGTCATTTTTGACACAAAATTTGAAATATGTCAAAAACGGTTAGACTTGGGTATAGGAGATTCATGAAATGCGATCAGAATTTCATGTAGAATCGAAATATTGGGTAATATACAACTATATACACGTAAGTGAAATTTAAACGCGCTGTCATAATTATTAAAAATAATTTATAAATAAACTGTCATAAATATGCAGGACATTATTATAAAGTGACATTTTTGTAGAGAGCAATTGTTTGTTCTCCGCATCCCGCCGTCATAGCCAACTAGTTAAAAAACTGAATCTGTACTTATAGGGGTTTTACAATAGAAAAGTAATAAATTGCAAATTACTCGAAAAGTAGACATTTTTGGAATAGAATAACCCTTATAAAGTTACGCTAATTTTTAGTGCTGGATGCGATAAACTTATAAGAATGTTTTCATTCGAAAAAATCGACTTTTGGCAATTTTTGACACTGAATTTTTATATTTATTTTTTGACCACCCTATATAAATAATTATCGAAATATCATCCAAAGTCTATTAAACTATATCCCTGTTTATCAGAAAATCAATCCAAATTAAACATTAAGGTGTTGTACATAGGGCAAATAAACAATTATTTTATGGCCTGCAAACGTCTTTTTTGACATAAAATTTGAAATATTTCAAAAACGGTTAGTTAGACTTGAGTATAATAGATTACATAAAATGTGATTAGAATTTTATGTGGAATCTGAATATTAAGTAATATACCATTTCAAAATAAGCAAGTTGGCATCAACTTCCGGTATAACCGGAAGTGCCACCATCTTGACGATATTTTAGCTGACGTTGCCCCATCGACATTACCATGCTCTCAAAGTTTCAAAAATATCATATGCCTACTTTTTGAGAAATCTATCGATGGAGTTGCCGATGCGACATCCTGTATACTCATGAATATGTTTGAATAGATTTTATGTTTTGCCAAATTACGAAATTGAGATATTCTGTTTTTTTATGTTATATGACATGTACATAATGAAAAACCTTGTCACCCATTTTCGTCGGACTGTCTGTCTGTCCGCTAATCATTGGCCCCTGTATAACTCAGAAAGCATTGATGAAATTTTGGCACAAGCTTACTGATATGCCAAAAACGAAAAACCGTAGGTTTTGAAAATCGATCCATTGGCGGCCAAGCTATAAACAATAAACGAAAATAAAAATCATTCGTTCCAGTGTCTCCTGCTCATTTTCAAAAAAACTTTTTGAGCAAGTATTGTAAGGGGTGGAACATATCTTGA